AGGTGGGGACCACTGGTCTAGAACATGAGTAGAACTTGTTTACTAGGTTCACTGACTCTTCTTCTGCCTTTACAGCAACATTAGGCGATGAAAAGCAAATAAAAGAAACCTTGCGTGCCTGAATTGCTCGTTAAGGTGCGGAGAATAACAAAAATATTTAAAAGAAAATATTACAGGCGGTCCTCGTAAGCACGGGCAGGGATAAAAATCACGTGACTTCCGGCGTTACCTCTCTTCTGACCTTCCCGACATCTTGCGGTACACTGTTACGTCACAGAGCACTGGCGGGCACTTTGAATTGGGCTTCGTATTTTTATTTTTTTATAAAAAAAAAAAACTACGAAACTCTATGGTGAAACAATTTTTTTTGTAATTTCCTGAAATACCAATTTAACAACTGGCACTAAAAAATTTTTTTTTGGCATGTCAGAGGCTTTTTAAGTGAGTCCGTAGCCAAAAATCGCTCATTAGGTTTATGTAAACATAGCTGTCACACTCCGCTAGCTCCAAAAGTCACCCTATATTAATCTATTAATCTCTCTACAGTTATTGACTACGCAGAGCGTGCAGCCTCGGAATGGGTCATGTGTTTTGTTCCGCGCACTCACAGTTGGAGTCCGCATATGCTCTCCGAGTGGTTGGTATGGAGATCGACAAGTGAGTACGGGCCGATCACTCGGGACTCGCCCAAAGGGTCCGAAGACGGTCACCCGCTCTGAAATCGTAACTCTATCGCCGATCACTTAAGGCTCCACTAAATCAGTACCAACGCTGCACTCCTGTCGCGACCAAAACTTCTTTTTCCTCTTTTTCTTTTTAATGTGAAAGCATTAACTGTTTCATGAAGCAAGCTGACGTTATCAGCTTCGAAACCGCGTCAAACGGCACCTAACTTAAACTCCTTTCTCCCAATGGAGCAAAGTGAAGCCGCTCGAAAAGCCTAGCCAAACGGCACCCAATTTTCCCGCTCCCAATTTGAGCGCAGTGAAGCTGAAATCTGTTGAATAGCTCCCATTGGCTGGCTCGCGTCAGTTTAAAGGTCCACCACCTTATAGCGCTGCGGGCCCGCGCCGCCAGCGCGCCGGTAAAAGGAAGTTGGTGGCCGCCGAGCGAGGCAGTGCCCGTTCCGGCACACTCCGGGGTGGCTCCACGGCCAAACTCAGCGCGGTGCAGAGAGCGCGCGCCCGGCGGTCCGCCCCAACCTTGGCATCAGCGAAACGTGGCCGTCCATGCCAGTACGCCGCAAACGAACTAAGCGAGTGGAAGAAGGACATGCGTACTTTCGCATTTACAATTCATAAAGAATGCTTAAGTGTCTCTCAAGCCTCTTTTTACTTTTTTTTTACAGCGGAGCTGTTAAGTGCTAGTTTCCCAAGTATCGTGTCCGTCAGCAAACAACTGATGACACCAAACTCCGGACAGCTGCCGCAATCTATAAGCAACGGCGGCAACCAGACAACCGTCTTAAAGGTTCTCTGGTTGCCGCCGTCGCTCATAGATGGCGGTAGCTGTTCAGCCTTTTTCACTCTGTCTTGCCGACTTGCGGCCGACCTTTACTTCATTCCCACCATAGTGCAGCTTCGCTGGTCCTCCTTCTTCGCCAAAGAGGAAAAGCTAAAAATTTTTTTGTCGCTTGTTTTTTTTTTTTTTTTGGGGGGGGGGGGGGAGGGGGGTTTAACTTGTTTGGGGCTGCTCGCGCTCAAGTTCACGTACGCACCTGGGCCTAATAATGCACCCGCGCACAACACCTCACCAGAGAAACCGAGACATCTTGTACGTCCCACAGGCAAGATTCGCTTGCTTTCGTCCTATGTTCACTATGCTTTTCTATTCACGGAAGTATTTTCCAGATCATTCGAGTTCTTTCGCGTAGTGTTTGACTGCGCGGGCCAAAGTGGTTGGGAAAATAAAGGAGCGTCAAATGGTACTTGATGTTTACACTTGCCGGTTATTACTGGCACTTTAGTCGAGTGCTTGAGAAGTAGGGACGTCGGCGAGCAAAATGCCCCCCCCCCCCCCCTCCCCCCCGGCAGACGCTGCTGGGCGGCTCGGAAGAGGTCAAAAACAAAACATGCTTAAGTTTTAGTGTACCAAATACGCCTTCGATTGTACTTATTGAGTTCTGTTCTCGACTGAGCCGTAGGCTTGATTCTGCGCTTTGCCAACACCAAAGACTACGCTAGCCAGCAATCGCAGAAACCGTTCATGGGCTGCTTTTTTGGCGGACCCGTGGTGAACGTTTTTTCTTCTCTTTCGTAAGAAAGTATTTTATTAAGAAATTTGTGCTAAGTTCTAATTTTTTTCTGAAAAACACAAAAATATATCAAAGTGGGAAATATGTTTCACATGGTACAGCCGCTGCTTAAAATATTATCAAACAATTAATTTTATCGTTCAAGAGAAAAACTGCAGGAGCCTAAGATAAGTTTTTTGTACCTCAGTGTACTCTCCTCTTTGTGAAAGCCATCTAGAAACGAAATTATTTGTTCCTTTAAAAAAGTGAAGCTCCGAAAGCTGCGTGGGAGACAGTTGCTTTTAGGAAACGGTGACCAAACTTCCAACTTCGACAAATACCGAAAAAGTTGCTTGCGGCGCATGTGCTTTTAACATATTCAGATTCATTTGATTGCTCGAAGCACCTGATTTGCAAGTTCGAAGGTGTCATATCTTGTTAACCTCTGATCATCATCAGATACCACAAGCCAGCCTCGCAAGTACAAAGGCCTGCGAACACTGTGCGAGGGAATGTTTCGAAAGAGTTGGTTTTGCAACACCAGATGGCACCAGTATATTGTTTGTTTTTGTTTTGACATGACTTTCGCAAGACGGTGGAACAGTACTGCGGTAGGAATTCGCCTTCACTTGAGCCCACTAGAGATCAAGCGTGGGGGTGAGGTATATGAACAGGTTAAGTGCATGCGAATAGGGAAGATAACGGAAGGTGTCACCGGCAGGGCCGCAGGCGGCTAATTGACGCTGGATTTTGTAGTTTTCCAACACGCTGTTTGGTAGCGTATCCGAAAGTGGCATTAGGCGCAAGAGCCCAATAACAGTCAGTAATTTGTGGTGGTACTCTTGGCATAAAAAAAGACGCGACTTCTTGCACCTCTATGTCCCAAGACTATTAAAAAGCTGAGTTTTGGAGAAGAAACAACCAAGCCGAGATGGTGTTTGCAAAAATATCGACTGGTCGAGTCAGGTTAAAGTGGCGTGGTTTTTTGTTGAAGACGCAAGTTATGCGGAAGGCAAGTTCGTCTGCTTCTCGCGCAGGGGGTAGCAATGACGTCAGAACGCCGAGCCCTGATTGGCTGATTGCGACCCCCTATCTGAGCGTCGTCTGCTCCTTTGCAACGTCGTCTGCTCGCAACGTCGTCTGCGTCTGTCTTACCTTGCCTGCGACTTTCGGAAGTGCAGAGGCCAGATTCACGAAACGATCTTACGCCAAAAATGTGCGTAAGACGAAACTTAAGAACAAATTCGTATTCACGAAACGAAATTTTCACAAGTTTCGCGCAGGTTACGACGAAATCCTACGGCAGCTCCGAAGCTGTCTTATGCACTTCTTACGATCAAATCAGCATGGCAGACAGCGTCGCGGTCACGACGACCCACGGACGTTTATTTTTCTACCTGCGCTTCTGACGCGTTCCGACTTCAAGCAGCAAGAAAAAATTAAGAAGTACTTGAAACAGACCACTACGAACAAGAACGCTGGATCCACGAACACCCGGGAAAAGGTCCAACGGCCATGATTCCACCGAACGCAACCAAACGAGCTGGGCAGTTAGGCCTAGCAGGCACTCGGCGACTCGGCGACCGTCTGCCCACGACCGGCTGGCGTGCTGAACGGAATGTGCCCGCGCGACCTTTGTGAACCCTTCCCGTCTTATACTTTGATCGCTGACCTCAATTTGAGATTAAGGGGTCAATTACTTCCTCTTGTTATCTCCTTGTTTCCCGAGGCAACGGTGACTCTCGCCGGTGAAAAAGCGGTGAATCTCCGACAGACACAGGAAAGGTAAAGCAGCCATCGCTTTGACTAGCAGACGTAAAGCAGACGATGCGCCAACCCGCCGACGCCGTTAAAGAGTGGGGGGTCTCGCCGCACACGAATGGAGCGAAAAAGTATATTTGGGAGGGAACTTGCGGACACTAACACGCTCACTCTCGGTTCTAAGCAAACAAACCTCGGCGCCCCGGGGCACCTCGCCAGTGAGTCCTTTAACTTCCCTCCTTGATGCGCGTCTGCTAGTTGTTAGACAAAAACAACGTACCGCTCGAGTTATTTCGTGTGCCCTCTCTTAAAGGTGAAGTCGGGTTCGCTTCTAAAGTCGCAGGACAGGTAGACAGACGCGGACGACGTTGCGAGCAGACGACGTTGCAAAGGAGCAGACGACGCTGAGATAGGGGGTCGCGATCAGCCAATCAGGGCTCGGCGTTCTGACGTCTCCGCTACTTCCTTTCTCATGCGCAGAAGACGAAAATGAGCCCACTTGCGAGGCGTATACCTGTGAGTGGTGTAATTCCTTCCATCAAAATGCAGTCGATTTCAAAACTGGTTACGTGTGAATTAAACCGCGACCCTTCCTTCTTCTTCCCGCCGTCCTCCCCGACAAAGATCCAGGTGTCATCACCTCTAGCGGGTAAACTGGCATTACGGACAAAGACACTGGTACCGTCAAGGCACGAAATGCGTACCGAGCGCAACTGTGCAACATCACCGCGAACCAACGAGCATTACATTCTGTCTTACAATTGCATTTGCCGCAGTAGTGCGATGGAGGAAATTTTTTGTGTAACATTCACTGCAAACTTAGCGTTGAATACTCACAAATGCTTACCTGAAAGGTGCAACAGAAAACAAAACAAACGCTTTGCTGTTATTATTTCAGTTGAAGGGCACGTTTTCCTTGAACACAGATTTGAGGTCACCTCTTCGGGCTGTAAGCTTGATTTTGTATTGGTAGCTTCACACGTGATGTGTTGGTATGCCATCAGGAAAGGACAACATTCTTGAGATTTTATTGTAGTTCAAATTTACAACACACATGATATGAATCGTATCACCCGCAACAATACGTCTAGAGGAGTTGGCATCATTCTAGAGAAATGTCAAAGGATCTTGCTACTTCGTAACGCATTCAATAATATCAATGGGATAAAATGGTAATAAAAACTACTTGTTTTTTTGTTTTTTTGTTTTTTTGCTTTTCACGACCTCGAAAATCCTTTTCAATCCGCGGTCATTCAACTCGTGGCACTATCACTGCACGCACGTCTCCATCTCATCGGTCCCGAACGGTTATAAAAATAATTCTCGACCATGAAACTACAAACGAAACGTCGAAACAACCAATAATTGGCATTTAGATAACAACGTAGCCACAACACAAAAATTAAATGGTTGTACGCTTGATTTGCCATCACCGGGTATATATTAACACACAATTCTCCGGGTTATAGATGCGCCTCGACTTTTTGTAAGCAAAACGTGGCGACAACGCGTGCCTGTACAGCGGGTACTATTCAGGCGTTCTTTTTCTTTAATAATGGTGTACAGGGTTAATGTCGCGCTCGAGGATTGAGATCGGCTATACTGCGTAATTTAATTAACCTTCAGACGAGAACTGAATTGCTAGTGTACAGGCGGGAAGGACACTGAGGGGGCGCGCGCAGAAAAACCAATACGAACTCCTTAACACGGGCAACCACGGTGCCATCATCTGTTCGGTTCTTGCTGCGAAGCAGATGAAAAGGCAGCAGAATCTGACACTGGAAAAAACAAACCGAAAATTAATGGATTTCTAAAATATTTATCTGGCTCTTAGAACTGGTGAAGAAGCCTGTACAACGTCCTACGGGCGTTACCCACGGCCGTTTGCTCACACACAACTTTATAATTCACCACGACGTCATTACCCGAGACTGGACACAAAAAAATAAAATATTTAAAGTGATAGAGATGTGAAAAGGGGGACAAACAGAATCCTCGAACTCCCCCAGCTTACGTCCTTTCTCTCTTCTCCCGTAAATTATTAGCCGCTTTTAGGACATGTAGTGTGCTTGCCAGTATAAATTTCAGTGCAAAATTGTAGATCAAGACCCTTTCAGAACCTAAATCAGCCTTTTAGGAAGACATACTGGTTCTGGCGTATAGAACAGAAAAAAGTTTAATAATGATCTTTACCGAAATTGCTTCACCTAGGAGGAAAGCAGTTGGCTCAGATTTTGAACCAAACTTCCTGTTTGTACACTCTTCAGGTATTTTTATGCGTGCACTTCCTTTGTCTTACATTCTTAATTAGAAAAACAAAAAAGTCAAAATAAAAACAAAAATATAAATATCTAAAAAAATCAGGCGCGGCCATTTTTTTAAAATTCTCATTACCTTATTTTCATAATACATACGCATTACCAGATACTCATACTACATGACTTTTCTTGTCTTACTTTCCTATGCACCCATAATTTTGCTCACATCATATAACATAATTAACACAAGAAAGGCTGCTCAAGAAATGCGTCACTTGTGCAAACATTAAACTTGGCAAAAATCAGCGAAAAAAGGTAGGAAACGTAGTAGAATACAGGAGACAGACAATATTCTGAACTCAAAGCTCAATATTTCATCCAGAAGAGAAAAACAGAGATAGCATGTATAAAACATGCACGTTCTCAAGGCGCAAGTACTCAAGGGAGCGTTGCGATGACTTCAGCTCATTGAAGCGTTTAAAAATTATAATTATTTTTCAGGTAGCGCTATTGAAGGCTTGCTCGCACAGTGGTCCCCCAAACCTTGTACATTAAATGCCTCGTAAATTTCTCTGGGGAGTTTTTCTTTATATCGGCCGATGATAGCGGTGCTAGCTAGAGTTCAATTGCAAGAACAAGGATGACAGTGTAAAGAAAGATGACCCCCCCCCCCCTCCCCCCCCCCCCCACCGTTGATTTAAGAGCCAGGTTATGCTCTCGTAGCCTATTTTTAATGCACCGTCTAGTCTGTCCTACATACGTTCTACCACATTTTAAGGGGATGCTGTACACTACGCAAGAGGTATGGAGCGCAAAAGGGGTAGCATGGTTTTTTTTTTCACTTTTGTCGAGAAAAGTAGTCCAAATTTAAGTGCCCTTTGAAACACATATGTGTTATTTCTTTAGTTCCGGAAAAACAACTTGATCTCCATATTGTTGGGTTACTTGTTTTAAGTTACGCGATACCTTGTGCAGGTAAGGAACCACTAACACCGGTTTCCTACCTTTTTCTCTGATTTTAGCCATGTTGAATGCTTAACAACTAGCCCACCCTTCACATAAAAGTAATAAGAACTGTATTATTCACCCTCTACTGATAATGAATTGTGATGGAATTCAATGTTCAAGTTTTAGGTATATAAATTTAGAAAACATCTTAACCAAGTTTTTTCAAGACAGTTCTTGCACATTGGTCATCTTGTGAATAATTAAATTTTCCAGTTATTTCATTTTCGTGAACATCTCAGTTAAAAAAAGTGCAACGAACAATTTAGCGCCCGAGAACGTATGAGTTATGAAAACAAATAAAGAGTAAATCTTTATTAACGAAGTGTCTAGCGTTACGTCTGACGTAACCCAAGTTACGTCCAAGTCTCCGCCTTCCCTAGGTTCACGGAGGAGAGAGAGGAAGGCGGGGGGGGGGGGGGGAGGTTTAGGTATACGCGTTTCAGTGCTCCGTCCGGACGGAACGCTAGCCACAGCGCTTTATTAATCATGAACTGTCGTGCCCGCGAAATATTGCTGAAACCCGCATTTTGCAGAATTTGGGAATTCTGGTGCCCACGAAAATGAGTCAAATACAATATTTCACTTTTCTTGTGTTGTTGCATTTCTACTGTAATTTTCCGAAAGACGTACTAATATCGTTTTTATTATTTCGGCCCGAGACTATTGTTAATATTATACAAGTATAAAGCGAAAAATAATCAACTCACTTTTAGGACTTCTGCGAAGCTGGCACCAGTTCCTCGTGTTTTTCTACTGGAACGGTCTTCTCTGAAATCACATAAACAAAACATCAGCTTGCTTGGGAGAAGATCGTGTTGGTTTAAGTCATGGATGAAGAAAGAATAAAACAATTAAAACAAAAAAAATTCAAGATGTGGTTGTGTGGTTCCTGTTTTAATTGTTTTATTCTTTCTTAAAACATCAACTCTTCAAGTTTTGACACGTGATTTCCTTCCATTCAAATCAAATGTTCTTAGAAGAGGTGTTGGTGTTACATGTGTTACCTCCTGTGTTACATCCCGAAAGGTAACAAAATAAATAACCAGTTTTCTAGTAATAATATACTTCATTACCGAACTCCCACCAGAACCGAATGTCAGAGATCAACATACATTTCGGACGGCTGGAAACCTCACCCCATCTTCTTTTCTTTATCCCCATCCCCTAAACCTGCTCTGTCCTGGAACTACTTGCTATGAAAATGATGAATTCTCTGAAACTTCTGAGTCTGAACGAAAGATTCGAAGCACTTTTCTTTATTCCGGCTGGACACGCGCTACACTTACTTTTCTTTGCCAACATAATTGCGACCCACCTTTACTGTTTTGTCATTATAAGACTGTGTAGTGGAGTAATCAGTGCTGCGTGAAGCACGTTAAAGGCCTCAGGTTAGCAGCCCTGGAGTGCGCTGGCTAAATATTTTGTCTACAAAAGGTTACACCGGACGTCATCTTTAGGCGCTTTTAGTGCTCACTGTCTAGGCTTTTGTACAACAAAGTTGTGTTTTGGTTTTGACAGATATGTGAATTCAATTCCGGATTCGGCGCGATTCGGCATAGTAGCACAAAACGCTAGAAGTAAGAAAATGACCGAAGGCATTTTCAACCTCCCTGAAATAAATTTTATGCGTAAACGCTAAAATATGCCAAGATAACTTCGGGGCTATATTAAGGGTTCCGTGTTTCCGGAGTTAACTTTTTCGTTTGCATAATCCACCCTTCTAAGTTTTTACATAATGCTAACTAAATAGAAATAATCGTTGTTTTAATTATGACTACATTTATGTTGTTGATAAAAAAGCAATCGCAGTTTATTTTCTGTCACAGGTTTTGAAAGCTCGTGTCTCAATATAAGTATCACAGCCGCTCACTTCCCTTTCTCATGTTCAAATGGAGGCCCAAAACGTATTCTAATCAATTGTCCCTCAACTGACTGAGCCCTTTCCTGTGAACCGAAGCACCCGTAACCACCGTGAACAGTGCTCACTTTTATCTTCCCGGGGTCGAATACTCGGGCTTCTGGGTCTGCTGTTGGACACTTGCGCTGGCCGGCGCTCGCTGTTTTCCGGGAAGAGCCTTTGCGGCACCTGGTTGCCTGGCCCGCTGTACTGACTGTTCGGAAGCTCTCGAAGGATGTCCACCAAAGCAGCCAACATAATATCTGCAACGGTGTTTTAAGAATCATTAAACAAAACGTTCGAGACCAATATCTTTGTTATTTCCACTTCGTCATGTGAACTAGCCGGTAAGTCAGAAGGAAAATACGATACTAAATTAGATGATAAGTCAAATTACGTAGCGCAATAAATCTTGCGTCCGGTTTTAGCCTTCTCTTTAAATGGTACAGCGCACGCAGTGTCCACCAAGCGGGGGTTTGACTGAAGAAGTTGGTTGATGTTGGAAAGTTGGAGGAAACCACGAACTGCTGCTGATTTTTTTTAGAAAGCTCTCCTTGCAGCTCACTTTGGGTACCATACATGCCACCGAACGATTAGATACGGATTTTGCGTGACAGTTTGTTATGGTATATATGTTGGCGCTCGAGATAAGATTCAATTACTGCGTCTGTTGTACGCTTACGAGTTTCGAGAACTCTGCATCATATGGTGTGACCAAACCGAGCTGTCAAACCAAACTATACTGCCCGATCAATATATGTAAGACGCTCTGATTTCTCTGCTTCGTTGACTGTAAAATTTGAAAACCTTGTTTATTTTCAGTGGAATGTCTAATGAAATTACCGATAAACGTGCAGAAATAGAAATTGCTGGCTTTTTTGTTATATGATTATAATAAGATAAACGGGCTGCCTGAATTTTAAAAAAAAATCATCCGGTAGCAGCTTCGTCATAGTTGCTGAAATCGTCCCACTTCTAATGCGCCTTTTAGTTAGTAATTTTTGGTGCAGTCCTTTACAAACCAACATTATATATACCGGCGTGACGGTTTTACATTCCGTTTTCACGTCTCGTTTTTGCCTCTTGCGTTGTCACCAAGTTACCCACGTCAAGAACGTCTTCTACGTTAAAACACAAATAGGCCAGTCGAGTTACACTTTGATATTAAAATAATTATTAAATATCAATCGCTGAGATCATGGCAGATTCACTGAGGCTGAGTGGGAATGAATTAGTGCGATTGTTTGACTAATATTTTCATTCTCGTAGTAAATATTTTCCTTCTCGCGGGGTTAATATCAGCTGAATGCTAACAGTGCCACTACCAGGTTAATTTGATGGACTTGGATGGCTATAGAACTTCACATCCGTAATTTTTTTACTGATACGGAGCTGAGGCTGAATGTTGAGCATTTGTTCCGGGTGCAGAAAATAGGGCACCCGTCTTGCAGAAATATTTAACCCAATTTGTTACGTAAAATATAATCTACTTTCAATAATAAATGTACATGACTTCTTTAATCTCACGCCCTTTTACTCGGCGGTCTTCTAAAACCATTTCGTCAATTTTTTTAATCTCTGGTTTAGTAGCGGTTCCTGAGCGTCCTGAGTGTCGTTCACCGCTTGCGTGTATGCGGATATAATAAATTCTAGAACCCAAAACCTGACGGCGGAAAATGAAGCAATTAACCCCCTTTTTGTGATTCCCAAAAACGTTTCAACCTCTCCGTCGAGGGTTGGTGCATGATGGCAGTTCGTGATGTTCTTACTAGTCTTGGAGCACGTATATTCAGTCAGCGGAAAAAAATAACGCACAAAACTTTCTTTAGTGAGCTGACGTAATGTGAACACTCCGCTTTAAAGACAAAATTTTCAAAAACCAAAGGTCGGTATATAACAGTTATTCCGAGAAAGAGCGGGTTAAGTGTCTACGTGCCTACTCCACCCCTGCTGGCACAAGAGAGAAAAAACATGAATTGGCGTAGAAAAAATTACTTAAACAATTGACATGAACAACCTTTGGATAGACAACTTATTTTTTATCGGTGTCCGTGTCAATAAACAAACAAGAGGGACACCGATCGAAGCCTTCGTGGTGTTGTGCTTTCAGGCCAAGCGTATCACGTAGCTCCTCCTCCCTAGTTCTGCATTTGATCTTCGTTAACAAACCGCAATGTTTCCTTTTTCTTTTTGGAAGGGTGAAGGGTGTGTTGGTTTTGAAGAAGCTCTGATAAATACTAAATCTTAGAGGCTGTGCTGTAAAATTGGATAGGAATGTTTTAGTTTACACAAGCTTACTTGCACTAGCGGGGCCCAAGCATACTAGTAGAACGCAACGGCAATGAAAAATAAGCTTTTTCGTCGCCGCGTAATGTAAAGTTAAGAAGGAATTGTTTTTTATTTCAGTCTCTGCAAAAGTTGGTGAAGTTGTGAGGATGTCATTGTGGACGTTGGCAACAATCCGATACACAGGATTTTGTCATGACGCCTTGCAATCCCCTCGCTGACAATATTTAAAGGCAGCAGCTACGGTGAACACGAGCACTGTGTGAGCTTTTCATTTGAGCTCGTTCTAACCAATGCTGTGAGATGAATTTTGGCAGTGGGTCGTGCCCAATCGCTGGAATTACGGAAATAACCGAAGTTGAACGATCTGTGGAACTCGGCGATTATCCTGTGCCTTGCCAACCCCAGCGCGTGTCTATGATATAGTTCGTATTATTCTCACAAAGGAATAGAGATTCAGCAATCAAACTCAAGTAGGAGTTGAGACTTTCTCTACATGTTCGCCACCAAAAGTTACCCGCTTTTCCCAGCAATGCACCACATGCCGGAGGCCATTGTTATAGAACTCCTCGTTTTGAGCGTTCAGGAATCGCTCCACTTCAGCAATCACTTGGTCGCCGTCTTCGAAATGCTTTCCTCTTATTTCGCCACACTGGAAGCGTCTGGGCCATTTAACCAAAGTGTCATAAACTGGGGCGTTGTCCCCGTACAACGCTCCCAGATTGGAATAAATATCCTTAACATTGCTTCCCTCCAAATGAAAAAAAAAAAGAAAAAAAAAAAAAAACGGATCACTGCATGTGCTTGGTACCGACGGGCGGTGCCATTTTTGTTTCGACTCCCTAGCGGCGTTTCCAGCTACTATAGCATGCGATGTTTATACTGTGCGGAAACTAGAGGGAAGCGCGCTCATGTTGATGCCTGTTTTGTTCCGTTATTTTTAATTTTTTGGGGCCGATAATATGAACTTCATGAACGCCAGGTGGCATTTAATCGGCTCCGGTTCACCTAGCCGCTTGTTCTGGCTGCAAGTTGGAGGGGAGAACGCTGCTAATTTTTCTCAAATATTTTTGCGATGGCCATAGTATGTAAAACAAAATGAACTGAGGCGTGCTTGGTAGATTATGAACGTGAAGGGTTAACTCTAAACGGTATTTATTGAGCGTACAAAAATTGTCTTGTACGCTCAATAAATACGTACAACGTACAAGAAGTCCCTTGTCTTCGAAGTATTTGACTTATCTAAAAATAATGAATAGACTTCTCTTGAACTCGAAAGAAACCGTAATCGAACAAAAGTAGCTCATCAAAACGAATGCAGTCCAATCGTTACTCGAGGCGTGACTCCGGCCGCGGGTCAGAGGCAGCGATTGCTTTCCTTATTCGTAAAAAAAGTGAGTGCGCCACGCAAGTCACGTGTAGGAGACGGTGCCCGTTTCTAAACAATAAGGTTTGTCGCCTAAGCTTTTCTTGCAGAAACATATCTCATTGGTCTAAAAGCAAACAAATCGTGGAGTCCTTGGGAACGTTTGTTGCTCATAATTTGGATTTGTAACCTCGCTCCATCATTATGACTGACAAGCATTGCGGACAGACTTTGGGGAGAAAAAGGCGTTCATAAAAAGTAGGCATGACTGTGCGAAAACGTCAACGAACATTCAAGTTTTTCCTCTCCGTGAAAATGGAAGATTGCTTGAATAAGTGATGACGCACAAGCTTCAGCGGCCGAATCAGTAAACGTCTGATCGACCACCAAAGTAACCTCAAATGTCACTTGCACACAAATTGAGGCTGGCAACTTTCAATCGCATTTTCGTGACAAATCACAAAAGGAATGCAAACAAATCACAGTAAAAAAAAACTGCTGCTACTTTGATAAAATACATACCTAAAACTTTTTTCTCTACTTCTCCAGAAAGTTTGTTTTGTGCCACTTCACTCTCGACGAAGTTCGCGAAACGGGCCAGAGCTTCTTCGGCACTCTGGTCCCCTGTGGAGAAAAGATAAAGAAACGAGCAAATTTTGCTAGTTAGAACTACCCACTAAACTGAATGATTGTTTCAGTAAAACAAAAGTCATATTCGGCAGTTTTACGTGCCAAACCAACAAAATGCATCTGATGATGGGGAACCAGCGGAGGACGTAAAACTGATTTGGACCACCTGGAAATCTTTTAACTCCAACCGAAATCTCGGTTCCGCCACGTCATCTCTGCGTTAATCCTCTGTAAATAATGCGAGCACCTCGGCCGTGATTCATATGTTCCACCTGGGGATTCACAGGACACCGGATTGTATTGGTGTGACCGAAGGGGTTGTTTCAGTGCAACAGAGATAATAACATATAACAACTAAAAAGAAAAAATGTGCCAATCTTTCATTCCTCCTTAAGTGCCTCGAATAAGGTTGTTGTTTTTACAGCGACGCTGAATATGACTCGTGGATTGGATATTTTCGTGTCGGCGTCCTCACGAAAAAAGAACCTCCAGCGTTTGAAGCGAAAAGTGCATACATCACGCGTGCAGTACACCAGCACAGCATTCGTTTCAATAAAAAACAGGCCCAAAACAAGCGTCCGAACAACATAATTGATGACAAGGCGCTCCGGATAACAATGCGAAGCACGTAGCGCGCACCGCATACGTTTCTCGGTAAAGATTACTATTGCGCAAGCTGCCGCGGCGACGACAGCTTGCAGCGTGGGGAGTGACGTCACTAGCCTTTCGTATATACAAGAACCCCCTATACTCCGTCTCATCTTACGACCGGACGCACCGGACGCCACGAGCTATCCTAGCCGATCCCGTTCTGTGGACACAGCCCGTGATACGCTTTCCGCGCGTCGCTGTGCCCCCTCTCTAAGGTCACGTGACACTTACACGGCCTTGGATTGGCTCCGATGGCTCGTAGCGTCCCCTGCGCTTGGAGGTAAGGTGAACCGGAGTATAGTAATCGATTTCATTGTTGTTGCTGCACCGCGATGAATAGGCCACGTATAGCTAGGGCTCCCGAGGAGCAGCGTGAACACTAGGAGTGGCAAAGGGAAAAGAAACGGCAATACGACCAGCGGCGGCGCGCTGCGACCGGCGGAGGCATTTGGTTTAGTGCAGTGGCCAAACGTTGCAGGTGATACCGCAGCTTCCCTGGCCAATCACCTTTACAATGTGGGTTGGAGCCACAGATTTTTTTAAAATTATTTTCTTCGGGAATACTTCCTTTTGATTGGAAACGCTCGGTGGTATTAATTCACAACTCGGGCAACCCTTGCATCGCGAAAAAAAAAAATTGTTGCTTTTTATTACTGTATAGCTTTCTTTAATGTCTGAAATCTGATCTCACAAGCATTTTTTATTTACTTGAGTAAACAAGTATGCCCCGAGCAACACACATTTTTGAAAGGCACGCCTGTAGTAAACTATCCTGTGTTCTTTTGACAGAGATAGTTGTAAAACGAACAACAAAGCCATAGTGGTTACGCATTCTTTCGAGCAAATATTATGTCGATTTTGTTTATTCGTAATCGTTTACACGGCTGAAACAGTGTTAGCGCAATATAGTTATGTGGGCATGCCACGTTTGGAGCACTATTAAAAAAATTAAAAGGGTTCAATACGCTTCTTTGAAATTTTGTAAAATCTTCTACATTAGAATATAATCACGTGTAGTTAAACGAACCCCTAAAGATTTATTCACCTCGTATGGTAGAAAGGTTTGTACTCCTGCCTTATGCATTACGTCTTAAATTGTACACGGCCCTGATTGCTGTCCCAAAGTAGTAAAACAGCAGAAACTAAATAGGCACCATATTTAGCACAAAAATGTGCACATAATTATGATGCAGAGTGTAGCGGATTCGTGAAGAAAATAGTTCTCGATCATACACCTACATTTTAACTTTTGAGAACACTACCATATATTCTATGTTAAAACATGAATTTCATGTGCTTCTATGCTGACAGTATACTATATTCTTACACAATATCACATTCATCATCATAACCAAAGAAATCTGAAATAAAAAAACTCCTACGATAATAGTATTTGCGGAGCACGCGCCTTGTGATCGAGTGGATGCAATAATATATTTTCAAAATATTGTATGTCTTTTCCTGTGTTCGTGTTTCCTGAGTTTTGGGTATGAAAATCAAATCTAGTTACTAGCCGTTAACTTAATTTACGTTTTTGTTTGCGCTAGCTGAGATATTGCAGATTACGAAAAGCAGGACAACCTCCTCCCCAAAGTCCTTCACTCTTTGCACTTTAGTATCGAACGCTGGAGAGGAGTCCTGTGGAGAAGAGGAATCCGCCAATCATGGCAACCAGAGAGCTTTGTGCGGGAGGCTTGTCCTGCATTTTTCGCAACCTGCAGCAGTCTAACACATGAGGTAGGATGAATTTTTCAGAGTGGGTGTCGATTCCTCAGTCAGAACCTATGCGCAAAAAATTAATGTCAAACATATATCGTGGATTTGACACAGCGCACAAGAAAAATATATAACTGGTGTATTTTATATAACATCTTCAAGTTTAATTTAGAGTAATCTAAAACATAACAGTGACACATCACTAAAGTAAAAAAAAATTATAATTTCTTCACTAACCACAGGTTGCCGACTTGTTACATCTATGTTTTTGCTAGTTTGTAAGAAGACACACATATATGCAGTTTATCAGATAGCACGGAAGGCTGTCATCGCGCTACCGAAGCAGTATTTTAATGTTATGTGTTGTGTACGGTAGTTGCGGCACCAACAAGTTTGGTTTCAAAGTGACAGTCTGTTTTGCCAGTTAAATGTCACTAAGGATACAAATATTTAACCCTCAATATTACGTGAACAGTCGTTAGGGGCTTTTCATCAGAACATTTACCTTCACAATTATGGCAGCAGTCCAGGCACAGCGGATACCGCTCACAGTGCAATGATTATTCCAAACTTTTCAATTAAAATGTCGCCTTTGGTGGCTCCACGTGAAGCGTCCGTTCTGACCTTTAATTATGCTGTGCGCGAACATGTCCTTGGCGAGCCAGTAGATGATCTCCTCCAGGGTGTATTCGTCATAGAGCGACGTGGCCCCCTTCAGCTTTTTGAGGATGCTGACGACGTCGGCCTCCGGCTGTGACCTCGGCGGGACCCTCTCTTCCGTCATCCGGTCCAAGTCCACCGGCGTAAACTTTCCCGACGACGTCACCTTGTTGCCGCTTGCCTTGCCGACGTCACCCTGTCCAACTCTGCTGATGGGGGCCGTATTCTTCAGCGACGGCGCCGCCGTGCTTGACGGCCGGTCTGCCGCAGTGTGCAGCTTGCTCTGCGTCGCCTTTTGCGGCTTTATAGATTGCTGATTTGCGGAGGCAGCCTTGGCAGAGATGTGAGAGTTCGGAGGCAGCACCGTCTCCTTGGCGCCCAAGACGTCGTTCATTCGATGCTGTAGCGGACGGAAGTAAAAGCAAACGAGTGAGTCGTGATCCCAGCGTACACAAGGTTAGCCTTTGAGCAATCTTTGTCTAACAAATTGCAGAAAAACTTCACAAAACATGCTTCTCTGACAGATCTTTGTCCCTCTGATTTAATCAAAGATTTTTGTTTTTTCTGACTGGCGACGAAATTACTTGCTCGCCTAGAAAAAGAAACCAATCAAAAGCTTTGAAGTATAGGATGCAAGCCGGAGTAGAAATTATGAAAATTATGTTTCTACATGTTATAAATCCGCTTTGCATTACAATATTCAACATATTTTATGAGAAGATATAATACTTTCGCGATGTGCCATGGCTTTAGCTCGAAGTCACTACCATCCTCGGTCGACATTAGGGTAGGTGGAAAACTGATTGTAATGCACACTGAGTGAAAGATTTGTAAGTATTTATTTGAACATATTAAAAGCTCACAACACAGCTGCCTTTTTAGCGTTGAAAAAAAAAAGTATAACTGAAATAGAGCAGTATAGTCATACGCGGAGAATCTAGAGATTAAATGCCAATTCCAAAACGACAAATTAAAAAAAAAGATCGCCGTTTTTTTCGTTATTTTTTTACAATGAAATAATATTTGGTACGATTACTTTATTGTAACAAAATGTGACTTAAAAACGAGTAGTAAACTGCGCTTTCGGCGTTATGAGTAAACTAAAAAAAAAGCGCAGATTTCAAGCTTCAGAATTCGCTTTATCTCAGTACTACCATAGCCTTTTTTATTCTTCAAAGTCTGTCAATTCCCTGATGGAGGTATAGAGCGCCCGGGCGCTGGAAGAAGGTGACAAGCAGCGCCAAATGGTTATCGATATGCTAGCGCAGAGCCACTTGTCCCTCACCCCACGCCAAGCGGCGGCCTGCGGCCACTGCGCAAAACACATCTGCGTTTGGATGTTTGCCTTACCTCGGAGATCATAGCCCTACCTCAGGCGCAGTCAGCACGGGGAGGGGGCACGTTAATTGCCGAACGCTCAAGGCACAGGATGTTAACTTTTCAACCGCAAAAGAAACCAAAAAAAAAAATGAAGCGCGTTCATGTCTTCTGATTTTATCGCAGCGGCACTTTTGGCGCTGCTTGAGCGGGCCCTTTGCCTAGTCGGCGTTGCCCCTGCGCGCTCCCTCTTCATTGTTCCTTTTTTTTCTCTTTACAGCGGTCAGATACTTTCGCGATTTGATGGGCTTAGTAAAATAGAGGAGGCTGTTGTACTACGCTGCCCAGCTGAAGTGCAGGTGCTGATGATTAGTCAAAGGTTTTGTTTCTGGAGTGTATTTTTCGAGTATGAACTAGGGCTTCTACTTAAAATAGGTATAGTTGCATCGAAAAGCACGTTAACATCGTTTCTGGACGCTTGGCGATGAAGACGCTTCTATGCGGTTTTATTCGACTTCACTTTTTTGCACGTGCTGTCACCGGTAAAATCAGAGCATTATGCTCCTAGCGGAATTACCATACTTAGAATAAGTAGAAATGGTGAACATTCCATTTAGGGTCAAATTTCTTCGTCGTGTTGCTTTCGTTTTTTTGTAACGTTTCATGCTGACTGAACGGACCAAAGTTTAAGCCTACTTTGGGCATGTTAGGTCTATTTCAGAGATTTATTTTACATTTGCCCGAGTGAAATTACGCCTCAGATGTTTTTTCACGGTATTAACATTTACTTTTGTGCACCAGTTAAGTTGAATTCGAACTGTACGTACACGCAGAAACCGTCCTGCACAATGTTCGATCCAAAAAGTAACCCGAGCAGATTCCGCGTCGCTTAGTGGTGCTTACGATGATTACCGGTCCCAGAAGCTTCACCAACTAAACACGGGTACAAGATTTGGTGAAATTAAGCCAGGACCCGTTTGCTGGAAGCGATTTTAGATTAACACAGTGACAAAGCCGACTGACCGTATGTATTCTAAGTAGATTCAAAAATGTTGTAAATATTTTTGCGTGAATACGAGCTCAAGCACGGGCTAATAGAATCGTATCAATCGCAGTAAATACGCTTAATCATATATGTGAAATTACAATGTATGGATTAAATTATATTAATGAAAAAACTCTTTGACATTCCCCTGAATGGTTATAAAGACAACTTTATTAGCCCTCAGAAAAGGTGTTAACGGCACGAACGGTAGTGTTGCTCCGTAACATCCAATGTAAATTAAACATATGTTGAAGAAGGATTTAGTGCTCAATAACTAATAGGGAGATACCCTTTGAACTAACATAAAACATACTGAACAAAAAAAGAAACTAAAAATTGTTCATAAGCCTTTTTTGCACCCCAGCCAAACAAAGTAACGTATCAAGACCAGCCCTTTATTGTGCCCATGCTGTATCGATGGCGCTTGAGCGGCTTCCCCAGCCCTGAGCGCTCCATCACTGTACAAGAAAGAGTGCGGGACTATTCACCTTGAACACGGACTCATCTTTCTTCTTCATGTTGATGGCTTCACGCAACTCCTGAATCCTGCGCAGTTTTTCTTGTTGCGCACGGATGTAATTCATCTCCGCCTTGACGTCTTGCAGATACACAATGGCTTCTTCCCGAGTCATCTGCAGAAGACGTGCAAGTAGACCGTGTGTTTGTACTGTTTCGTGAGAAAAGAGGGGTCGGAGAGCACACTCACGAGGGGCTTGTATTAAACGGCTTCGCCTTAACATTGAGTCCATCAAGTGCACTGACTGCGGTGCTTCCTGGTGCTTCCGAAACACAAGCCGAAAATCGTAGAGCCCATCAACCTCACGTGAAGATGGAGGACCAGCGAAGATATTATCTTTACGACAACTTAACGGCAACTTTACAAAAACATTACGACAACTATACGACATCTAGACGATTTACATATGATTGCAATGAACAAACTTACCCTACTTTCTTTTTTAAATGTCTTTATTTAATTCTTTGTGAATACAGTGATCATTGCCTTATGGTCACTTATGAGCACATTATAAACCCAATTGTTTCGAAGCACATCTCGAGGACAATTTGTTTCCGAATGAGCCGAGGTCTCTCTATCTGCATCGCGGAAGCGAAAGAAAAGAAGGTTAGATGGGCGCGTTTTGCCCTCAGTCTCGTCACAGCGCACTCTTAGCTGAAATAAGTCGGTGACTATAGATGATAACAAGGGATCAGGACCTCACTATCTAATAATGACAAGGAAGAATGACTCACGCGGGTTGCCTGTTCTTTTTATTTATAGTAGGCACGACCCATCGGAACGAAGGATCGCCGTTTAGACGGGAGTTCTTTGTTAACGTCCATGGACGCATTTCTTTCCAGATCCTAGCACATAACAGATTCGCTGCAAAACAATCGGCAGCTGAAGACAAGCCTCATTATCTCGGTGAAGTGTAAACCGGACGACTAAAGGAAGCCGCGATACCTCCTTTCTCAAATACCTTTGTAATTCAAAGATATTTGAGTTTGAGCACCTACGTATCCTTGCTTCGGCTCCGTGCATTTTATCACGTTGAACGGGATACATACATGTTTTAAAATACTCTTGCACGCAACTGACAACTATACAAATGACAGGTTGACACAAAGTATTTGAGAGCTATAACCCATGTTTTGTAACCGTTCCTTTGAATTCCTAGCGCCGGCACTGCAGTTCCTTTTCTGTTCTTGTTTCATACGCTTGTACATTCGCAGATCACACGAGCTTTCCTCCCGAAAGACTCTGAGTCATCCAACGCCTTAGCTGCCTTCACTGCTCCGATAATGATATTTTTGTTCGCATCCTGACACAACGCCCAGAGTGTTTGGATGCTCGTCGTGCTCTGCCGGTAAATTTCCCCATTAAATTTCCCCACAAGAGACCATATTCGAGTGTGCTGTTCACAGCGCTTGCTCAGAACGAACTCGCATTTACGGGCTGCTAAGACAGGCGATTTTGGTGATGTGGAATGCACATTGCAGTAGAACTGCGGAAGTTCGCCATCAGTACACGTTCAGCAGCCGCGGAATCAGCTATGGCCACCATTGAATACTCCAAATTAGAATTAACAATCCTACATAAGATACCATCGTGTTCCCGACTGGCTCCATCCACTGTCGCCGTAGAATTCAGAGCTCTCTAGTTGACTTTTTGGCCTCAACCTACCTCAACGATACACTGTAGCTGCTTCCTTCTAAACAAAGTTCAGTCTACTTTATGAACCTTCCTTTCTTTTCGTTTTTTTTTTCAATTCGTTTTATATTACCTTTCACCCACCATTCTCCCCTTTTTATCTATATCTCAATATACTTCGATACAAGGAGTTTGGCAGTTCACCAGACCAACCTCTCCTCTTTTTCTCTCAACGGTCCCCTTCCCCTTTTAAGATAAAAGTGAAATCGGTGAACCGTCCCTTTCTGGTATTTATCATTTTGTCTTTGCATTATTCTCAAAGACAAATATTGCAAACTTGCATGTATATTGCATAATAGTTAAAATCAGGCGGAGGCGTCATGAACGTCGATAGAAATGAATGCGAAACTCTTTCCGAGGACACGTGGCATCAATTCCTGGAAAGTTAAAGATATAAAAAACAATGTGCCACGATCGTTGTTTGAAACATTTTGCGCGTTTACAACAATAAAAAAGTATTCGGCATACCATTCCCTGGCGGAGTAGTTCTTCCACGGCAAGGGCGACGCCCTCCTCGTCGCCAGTTCTCAGGATGTACTCGGCGAGGTCGGTAGGAGTGTACTGCACAAACGTTCATTGGGAGTGCACGATTTAAAAATAAGTGACGAAATCTTTGTTCTTTAATATCAAATTAAAAAAGACACCAGCTAAAAGACTTCTGTTTCTTAGAAACAATAAGAATTTAAAAAAAATATATATGTGGTCATGGCTGTTGGCTACACTCCACCTCAAGATTTTGCGATAAAAGCATACCATTTGCCTACAGAAATTAACATCTTCCATGCCTTTTATACAAAATTTAAAAAAAAATTGTTTTTCTGTTTGTTTGTTTTTTCTCTCAAACCTATGTGCCCCTATTCTCCTGTAGCAGGGGTAAAGGAGTAAGTTCAAAGAGCGTGACGTGGCTGACCATCATGTCGTCGGGGTATTTGGTCGGTGAGAAAAGGAACCTAGGAACTGCTCAAATCTCAGCATGGGAGCATCTGACGTCGAGCTCTTACAGCTTTTCTTTTATTCAGAAGTTTGGTGATATGAGATAAATATTGTAAAAGTGCTCCTTAAGGTGAAAACGTTACACCTATGTTTTACGCTTGGTTGTACAGACCCTTTGATCGGGCCGTTGTTAATGAGGATTTTGGATTTATAAAATTTTGAACGTTTTCTATGAAAATGCAGAAAATATGTTTTACGGCACAGCTCGAATATTAAACAATTACGCGTTTCGTTTCTGTCATGCATCCGACATAACCTTTGTGAAAACTGATAGGTTGAAAGTATGCTACTAATTTGGCATTTTTATTACATATTTCAGAATTTGTCCTCCATTGATATATAAGTTTGCTAATAGTATATTAAATTCACATTTCAGTATGTGCAGCTGAGTCGCCAGACTGAATCGATGCCCCAAGTGTACGATTTAACATAGAGTACACTAAACTTATATTGAATGTATACCTGAAAAATGTAGGTGTTTATTTTGTTTTTAGTGGAAAACATTAAATGAAAAATCAGTATGCTCCTCGTATATTGTTTTATTGGAAAGGGGTGGGGCTTGGGGTAATACGACAACACATCTTGAAAGAATTCATTCAGAAATATCTTAGCAATAGTCATGTTTGCCAAGCAAACAAATAGATTTGTTCTATGAACCGCACAAGTGAACCTTTACATTTCGTCAAATGGGCCGGCAAAGGTAATAGAGGAAGTTCCTAGTTACAGCGGCCATAATATATTTTCGAATGAAGTAGTCAGAATACGCACGCCAAAATAATTCGGCATATCTAGCTGCAGTTTACCAAAGTAAAAGGGCGATAATATTGAACTGTAGTTTACAACCTTCCGTAAAATTTCACATATCATAATATTGTACAATACAGGTGAAAAACAGTGCCTGTGGCTATAGCTTTTCAGTGGGTGCGCCAACCCTAACTCCGCTCTCTTGTCTCTTACGCTGTGAAAAATATGCCTAGCATGCGGTGAAATCTAGCAGAGTTTCTGAACAGCAAGATTGATTAAAAATTAAAACAGCCCAAGGACACGGACAAGAACAAGAAGGTAGACGAACAAGGCGCTGACTTACAACTAAAGTTTGTTCGTGCTAACATCAAGTACAAATACTGAGCGTCATGACAAACAAACAAAGATAAAAAAAAAGATAAAAAACATGTAATGGACGCCACGTGCTCCTTAGCCACCGTTATGCGCTGTCACTGTGTGTCGAGAAAACAACATTCCTTTTCGGATAAACATATGGAAGGAGTGCTGACGCAGTTTTCCCCCAATTTTCCAATTTCCCGCGCCTCAATGATTTCTCGAGCGAGCTTGTCCTTATATTCTTTCTAATCACTTCACACTTGTCGAAGACGGGAGTGCAGCAGCAGTCACGACAGTGCAGGCCAAGGTGACCTGACACAACTCTAGAAACGTTATACTTGTGTTCTCGCAGGCGATCATTGAGGCAGCGCCCGGTTTGCCCGACGTATCTCCTGCCGCACGACAGGGGAATAAAGTACACCACTATCTCCACACAGTTCACGAATCGGTCGTGGTGTTTTTTGGTGCAACCCTGCTTTTCTTTAGAACAGGGGTTCACTTTTCTGCACAGCCCAGACAGCTTTTCCGGAGCCGAAAAGACCACATCAACACCAACCCTTCGGCCAACTTTCTTTAGGTTGTGCGAGATCTTGTGCAGGTATGGCAAAACGGTGATGTGTTGTTTTTTTTTCGGCTCCGGAAAAGCTGTCTGGGCTGTGCAGAAAAGTGAACCCCTATTCTAAAGAAAAGCAGGGTTGCACCAAAAAACACCACGACCGATTCGTGAACTGCGTGGAGAGAGTGGTGTACTCTATTCCTTCTCGTGCGGCAGGAGATACGTCGGGCAAACGGGGCGCTGCCTCAATGATCGCCTGCGAGAACACAAGTATAACGTTTCTAGAGTTGTGTCAGGTCACCTTGGCCTGCACTGTCGTGACTGCTGCTGCACTCCCGTTTTCGACAAGTGTGAAGTGATTAGGAAGAATAAGGACAAGCTCACTCGAGAAATCATTGAGGCGCGGGAAATTGGAAAATTGGGGGAAAACTGCGTCAGCGCTCCTTCCATATGTTTATCCGAAAAGGAATGTTGCTTTCTCGACACAAAGTGACAGCGCATAACGGTGGCTAAGGAGCACGTGGCGTCCATTACATGTCTTTTACCTTTGTTTGTTTGTCATGACGTTCAGTATTTGTACTTGATGTTAGCACGAATAAACTTTAGTTGTAAGTCAGCGCCTTGTTCGTCTACCTTCTTGTTCTTATCCGTGTCCTTGCGCTGTTTTAATTTTTAATCATGAAATACCAACTAGCCCGAACTTCCACGTTAGTCAGCAAGATTGAATATAACGTATCCGTTGCCACCTAAGACGCCTAACATGACTCCCAAGGGAATTAACCTTACTAAGCATAGGTCTTGTTTTGTTTTCTGACAAAGGACGTGCGTCAGTGGTGATGAGTGTTAGCTTCTTGATAAACGCTTCATGTGCTAATGAGCGGCCCTCCTACAGGCAGCTGTTCTGTTCTATGGTACCCAATAAAAGTAATAAAATTACATTTAAACGATTACTTTTTCGGTAATTTTGTAATCATTTGAATACATTTATTAAAAAGTAATCTAAAAAGTAATTTGATTACTTTTGAAAGTTCTGAAATTACTTGGAACCATTACTATTTCTTCCTCCTCTTTCTTCGTTTGTACTTCGTTTGTACCAGTTCCTCCCAAGGAATATTGGAACCAAGTCTTCTACGTAAGGATGGTTTACTAGAAGTGGTAGATTAAGGACGCAAGTAGTCTATGGTTCCGTGATTCTAATTCAATAATAGGCACTACAAAAAACCCGTTCTGATCCGGCAAAAAAAAAAATTGGTTTTGAAAATTTTAAGTAATCAGAACAGTAAGGGTTACGACGTCTTCAAGTAACGGCCAAATAATTTTCTGTTTCAAGTAATCATGTAATCTACTTGAATACCTCTTAACCAAGAGAAATTGTAATTGTAATTGATTACTTCTTTTTTTTCGTTTAAAAAAAGAAAAAAAGCGGCGTGTACAAGACTCGAACTTGTTCCATTCGCTGTACGTGCACCTATATGTTGTAATCAAATTAGTTGTTTGGATCTAACGGAGAAGTATTACGCCGACAAAAACGATGCGATTGACGGCGGACAATTATTGTAAGTCACTTTGTAACATAAAGTTATATGTAGAAGCGTACAAAATTATGTTCGGTGTCTTGCAGCCATTTTTTATAGCATTTGTGACTCGTTTTTAATGATTCAACAGAAAAACTAGGGTATACTGACGTCTCCACGATCAGGCTCCTCATTGACCCAAGGGTAGTTGAAGTTCTTCTTCTGGCTCGCGTGCCCGGTCTCTCCGGGTCGAAGGGCGTTCGAGTCCTCCACCTTGCTCTCGTGAATGCCCAAGGCGGGCACGTCCACCTGAGTTTTAGACACGCTGCGAGGACGCTCGCCTGGACCGCGCTGCTCCAGCTGGGAGCTTTGCTTGACGTTGGCCAGCGTGGCGCCGGACTTGGCGTCCTTCACTGCGGCCAAAGCACAAATAAAGAATCGAGACTCACATACCGAGTGCCACTCTTCGTCCTGGCGTATATCCAACACATATCCAACAAGTAAATACTTGTCTTGTAGTGTTTTGTTATGCCAATCGACAGAGATTGCTGATCAAATCAGTAGGAGCTAAACTATACGTGTTTTGAACGAAGTATATTAAAAAACATAGAAAAATTATTCCTATTAGTCGAACCAATGACTAAGTTTTGTATGCAAACACTCAAACTAAATACTAAGAAGCGTTTGCCATAATGACGTGGAGCGATCTAGGAACTAAAAGAAACAAAACGATTAAACAGTCAGTGAATATTTAAGGGAAATTTCAGTCAAAATTTCGCGGTCACTTGGAAGATAAATAGTACTATTGTGAAGGGCAACTGACTTAAAGTATTATTAAAGTTTTACCGCAATACCCTCAGGGACAGGCTACCAAATTCTTTCTGCAGGCTAGAGATTTTCCACTTTCGAGCAAATTACTTGGTGGGAGAAAAAAGCAAGTACATGGTGCCCCTGTAATGTTTTGTTGTCACGTTTTATTTCACAGTTTCTGTTACGTGCCAATAATTTTTAAGGTCTCAGGCAGGAGCCTCGTTTAATACTTTTATTACTTTATTTAATCACCTTGCCAGCATCAAAGAATAGTGCCTAGTATGCTTCCGGTCACCTGAACATCCTTCGGTGTAGGTTAGAAAATGGAAACTTCAGCTAAACGTTTTACTAACGTGCTTCCGTATCTTTATATATCCTGCGATTATTATTAAATTTAGTACATTCACAAGCAAGCAACTACATCGACTATAACATATGAAAGCTTTGACGCCGCGATACGACAAGTACACAGACGTGGAAACTCAATGAATTTCAGAAAGTGTGAGAGCCCTCTTAATTTTGAAACACCTGATGCGGGAGTTGAAAGAGCCTTCATTAAGCCTTTATAAGAAATTTTTGAAATAATCAAATTTATTTTTGCCGACTTAAATTAAAGTTTCACACTCAGACAATGGCCGAAACACTCGATCCTATATGGCTCGTTTTAGTCTCTCGTGTCTTGTTTCAGCTATGTCATGGGTTTTAAAATCAGACTGCGGAAAATGTAGCGGAAAATGCCAATTCGGTATTTCTGAAAAACTCACAAAATTACGACAACATAACAGCGACACCCAAAACAAATTTACCTGCAAAAGTTCTAGCCGATAATGTCAGTTAAAAGTCGCTGTATTAAGCACAAGCACCAAAATCAAACGCTCTATCTCAGCCCTCCCTGGCTACGCCTCTGGGTAAAGCCTATGCTGCTATCGAAGTCGCTACTTTATGACAATCGACAAAACTTCCGAATTCGCCTCCAACCCTTCGGACCAAAACCTCCAAATTTTTTTTTTCTACATTTTTTTTTTTTTTTCATTTTTACGCGACGTCATTTTGCCAATCTCAGTGGTTTTAGTTCGAAGGTGCGGCTGCGCACTTGAACGCCTGCTCACTGCAGCACATTTCGTTCGCATTAGAAATCTGGGGAAACAGTATTGCGTTTTAGTATTCCGCATTCGAGCGAACGCAAGCGCAGTGTTTGTGTTAGCGTTGCGTGTTACTCACTGCTCCTGCGCGGAGCCCGAAGTTGCTATCATGGATTGGCGCATGGCGACGACGAGCATGATCAGCGCGGAGCACTCAACTTTAAGGCACACGCACAGTGCTTGCGTTTGCTTTTACACGCAATACTAGAACTGTTTAGTAACGTACAATCCCCCACCGACTGTAGCGCTATATTAAGACATTAAAGAGTATTGTTCGCATTCAGAAATCGCTGTTCGCGAGCCTTAATTGCGATCAGTTCCGCCGTGCTTGTTGAGCAGAAGAATCGGGAGACCCTCACTAAAGCGCTTCCCGTTTCCGCCGCTTGAGGGCGAGCAACGAGCTGGAATCGCAAATAGCGTTGTCCCTCCCGGAAACAGGATCGTGACACTCACCAACGGTCGTAATAAAGCTAAGTAAATCGCCGGGTATTCGACGTGCAGCCCGTCCTTTTTACGAGATTTCATCGCACTCTTTTTCCGTTTTTCTCGGTCAAGCTCCCCGCATCTAAAGACCGTAACCTTTCGGCAGGCTACGCGGACCCGTGAAAATCGGGCGATCACGCAACGCAGTACTTCCGCCCAAGCCTATTTCCGGATTTATCTTTCGTCAAAGGTTCTGTTGGGGGGGGCACACCGGGACGTCCACCGGAAATTCCGCCCTTCTAAATCCCTTCGCCCCGCGAGAAATCCAGGCTCGTCGTGCCTTGCGCTATACTCTGTGTGACCTTGCCATGGACCGCAGCGAACGTTACAAGCCGTCCCAGTCAATCCAGCGCTGTGAACGTACTTCGTTACAGCACGCTCCGCGCGTCGCTGTATTCATTCTGGAGGTCACATGACATTAAAAGAGCATTGGGATTTGCTTCGATGGATTGTAGGGTTTCCTGCGGTCCGTCGTTAGACGAGAAACGGAATATAATGAGTTCGCGCTCTTCATATGCTTCAGTTTTATCAGGCGTTCTGCAAGGTTCTGTTCCTGGACCACTCTTATTCTTGGTCTTCATCAATGATATCATTCGTGGCATCCCTGAAAAGCTACTGTTGTTTTCGGACGATGCCGATTTGCACACAGAAGTCAGCAATAAGAATAGCCAAATCGAAATAAATTATTGTCCTGACAAAATTAACGTCTATTGGTTAACCTGGCAATTATCACTGAATCCGATAAAAAAGCGGGTATATGCACATCACTCGCAAGAGTAAAACGTTATCCTTTCAGTACTCGTTGGGGCATAATGTACTTTTAGAAGTTTTATCAAACAAATACTTAGGAGTCATCATCAGCAAGGACTTACTTTGGAACGATCACATCAATTATATAGCACGCAAGGCGCCATCGAAGATTTGGTACCTTCGTAGGAATTTGAAACATTGTAGTGTAGACTTAAAATTAACAGCTTATAAAACTTTTGTTAGATCTGCACTCACTTGAGTACGCGGCTATTATATGGAACCTCACACTACGCATAACATCTCTTTACTTGAAAACGTACAAAGAGCACTTCGTTTTATTTTTAATAAATACAATTGCCAGGAATCTCTTGCGTCTTGGCGAAGGTGCAGGTGCACTGGTGGTCCCTCCAGTTGGCCTATTCCAGGCTTAAACAACTCGCCGAACTTCGTTTTGAGTTCGGAGACCCGGTCTTCCGCCTCAGCGAAGTTGATCTTCTGGAGTAGACGTAGCGCTCCAATTACGTCGCGGCCACACAGACTCGGTCCATTGCAGTCCAAGACGTAGACTGACGCCTTCGCGCTCTGTCCTTCGTGTTCCACTGTCATGTGAAGAACTCCTTAAATTGGTAGGGCTCCCAGGTAGCACGATAGCTTCATCTGGCAACAGGTCATTTTGGGCCAGGACTGATGGTGTTGTTGGTAAACACTCACCGAAATGACTGATACAGGGGAACCGGTGTCGACTTCCATGTTGACAAGAATTCCGTTCCAACTCAGCGGAATGGTCCATGGCTTGTGCATTGGCAGCTCACTGACGCTGCTGATCGCGCGAAGATCCAATTCCTCTGCGGGGACCGATTGTGCTGCAGCGATGACGTTGGCTAGACCATGGCGTGCCGGACCACTTGCCTGAGAGCGCGACTTCCACACCCTTGCGAAATGTCCTATTTTTCCGTACTTAAAGCAGACAGTTTAAATAAAAAGACAAATTTTTGGGTCGTGGTCGCTGTTGCCACATCGTCCGCACTTCTTGTGCTGATGCCCTTGAGACTGGGGTGCTTTGTTTCGCGGGAAGCGTTCCACATGCTTATCCTTCACAGCTCGTTCGTTCACGTTGTTGACTTGGGGATGGTTCGAGCCTTCTCCTCTCAAGTCCGATGCATTTTTGCTAGCGGTCTCCACCGCCAGTGCTATGCGCGTTGCTTTTTCCAAGGTCAGCGCTGACTCTGCCAGCATTCTCTTCTGCACTCCTACATCGCGCACACCACACACCAGTCGATCCCGGATCATAAAGTCAAGGGTGTCGCCGAAGTTGAAGAACTCGGTGAGCTTCCAGAGAGCTGCCAGAAATTCCGAAATGGTTTCCTCCTCTTGCTGGGAGCGGCTATTGAACGTATACTGTTCCATTATTTCGGATGGTCTCGGTGAGAAGTGTTGTTTGAGGGTCCCTAGGAGCTCCTCGAACGTCTTTGTGCTTGGCTTTATGGGAGTCAATAAACTTCGAAGTAACCCATAGGTCTTCGGTCTTACGCAAGACAGAAAGATCCCGGTCTTCTGCTTGTCGTCGATAATCCGATTACCGACGAAGAACTGCTCCGAGCGTTCTGCGTAGTTCGCCCATGGCTCCACCTCCGCGTCGTACGCTGGGGCGGTTCCGATAGTCGCCATCTTTATTTCACTTGAGAGACCTTTCCGAGAAGAAATCACAAACCGTCGGGACTTGCCTTGTCAGATATTGGGCATCTGGATGAGGGCTTCGATATCGTTGTTCCCGTCGCCATTGATGTGACTGCTTTATGGGTGACGGTGGCTGAGTCAAGTTGCGGTTAACAGTGTTTATTAGAGCCAAAGAAAAGCGTCTAGTCAAAACTAGCACAGAGCATCTTTTGCGTGCTGAGGCGGCTGAGGAGCGGCGGTCCGCCGCTGCTTATGTTTCAGCCAGAAGAGAGACGGGAGAGGGAAATTCCGCCGGGCCCCGCTTGCGAAATCGGGGGTATCGGGTTGCTCTCCGTCGGTCGGGGAACATGGCTCGTACCGCTGGCTCGTACGGCGCGTACGTAGCAGAATCTGTCTCCGCTCTTTACGGTCCGGCCCGGTCTGCTCCCACTTCAATATGATCGATGCTTTCAAGCACTCTTATTTAAAAAAAAAAAATAAAAAATAAAAAATCTGCAAATGGAATATACTTACAAAGAAAAATACTTTATCTAGCAGTTTAACAGACTTTG